ATTTACTGATCACTTTTACTGTGCCAGCAACTACAGTGGAGCCTTGCCATGCATACATTTCAACTTCCCAATAACTCTTCAAAGCAGGTCCTTTTACCAACCTCTACTGAAACTCAAAGGGATTAACCAGCTCCATCCTGGTTCATCATCAAGTAAATGGTAAAGATGGAATTCAAGCCTTGAGCTAGCAACTAAACAAAAAGTTCCAAAAGCCTTACTACAACTTTCCATTTGATCAAAAATTTCATGAAGGGGCTTGCAGGTAGAGTGGTGGTTAATGGTGCTGAACTTCCACATGGCCAACTGTGGTTCAAGTCCTGGACCTGGTGGCTTCCTTTCTCACTCCCCACCCCCTTTGTCTCTCTCTCTCTGGTCAAACTGGAAAATAATAACAATAAAGTTAAAATAAAATATTTCTAAAAAATAAAAGTAATTCATGAGAGAGAAAGAGTATGCCAAAAGCATGCCCACAAAAGCAAACAGGATCCTGAGTCTCTTTACACAAGTATACAAAGATCATTCTGAAAGTTATAAATTCCATCTCAGTGGCCTTGGTATTTGGTCAACCAAATTACATTCTTTTTTATATTGTTACAGCCATACTGAATTTATGTCTATTCTTCTGTTTCTCTTCATTCCTTTCCTCTGAAAAAGTCAATTCTCAGAGGAAATAATTTCAAGCTAGGCAGTGTAAACTTGGGAGAAAAGAGAGAAAAGGAAATGAGATAGAGATTAGGGAGGGTCAACAGAATGTTTAATAAGTTATTGTTTTGGAAATCTCTTGCATAAATTTAGTACATCTCCAGTGAAGTTAATGATGATTTTTTTTTAAATCTCATGAAATGTTTAATGTGAGTAAATATTTTTTTTTTTAAAGTGAGGAGTCCAAGCCTCTTATCAAATCATCACAGGGGAAAACAGAGATAGTAAGAGAAGATGCAGGAGCACAGAGAGCCTTGACGAATGTCAGGAGCCCAGTAGAAATCTCAGTGAGAACTTTGAATCATCTGGAACCCATGGCGGAAAGCACTTGAGTCATATCTGTAAGCATGTAGTGTGTTTTGGCTGAGAATGGGGTTGATTATTCATGGAATAAAATCCAAATCGTCTCCCAGGAGAACGACTGAAATTCAAATTTGATGTACCACATGTTGGGACGGATGTGGAGTAACTGGAACTCTCATTCATTGCTGGTAAGAATGCAGTATGTAGAACCATCTAGGAAAGACATGGAAGTCTCATCAAATTAAATGTACACCTACCATGTGACCCAGTACTTACTCCCTATATCTTTATCCAAGAAAAAGAAAACGAGCTCACACAAAGACCTGTATGCAAATACTGATGGCAGCTTTTTCCATAATAGACAAAAACTGGAATCAACTACAATGTCTATCAGCTAGTGAGTTGCTGAACTTATTATGGTATGTTCATACCATGGAATAAATCACTGATCTATAAAGAGAGACTATGGATACACATAACAACACAGATGAATCTTGCAAGCATCATTGCTAAGTGAGAGAAAAGGTTGTCAGGAAAGTTATGGCATATTTTTCCATGCAAAAATGACTTTCCCAATGACCCAAAAGATGTAAAAAGACCATGTACTATGCAATTGCATTTATATGACATTCTAGAAAACACAAAACCAGAACCAGCAGATGGCATAATGTTTACATTGCTGGACTCTTAAGCAGTTGACTGTGGTTTGAGTCCCAGACCTGGTGGCTTAAAACTTACACCAGACATGTGTGCACATGCCCAAAATCCCGAGTGGAGAATGGAGGAAAAGGGATTGCAGCATGGCTGTCCCTGGGGAGGTGATTTCTACCTTTCTGTCGCTGTCTCTCTCTGTCTCTCCAGTGAGCGCATGCACCCTATAGCAAAAATCTCTCTTTAAAAAAAGGCAAAACCATAATGACAAAAAGTAAGTTAGTGATTGTCAAGGGCTGTGACTGACAGAAGAGCTTTTCTGGAGCAGTGCAGTAAAATCTCTGCAGTGACAGAAATACTCTACATCTGCTTTTTAAAAAAATAATTATTTTATTTATTATTATTATTTCTTAATTCGACCAGAGAGACACAAGGAGAAAGGGAAGGAAAGTGAGAAAGCAAGCCTCCAGGTCTGGGACTTGATTTGTGGGTGGCCATGTGGGAGTCCAGAACCTTAACCACATGCTACCTGCCAGCCCCCAATACTCTGTGCTTGATTACTGTGGTGACTACATGACTATACATACATTTGTCCAAGCTCATCAAAGTGTACACTTGAATGAGTTTTACTCATGTAAATGCTATCTTAGTGCAGCTGGGATTTTTTGTTGTTGTTGTTCATTTGTTTGCTTAATGTAAATCATGCTCACTGGAGGAAAAACATCATCCTGAAGATTCTTTCTTACAGAAGGCGCAGACCCTCACTCTAGTCCCCTTTGCTCTCCTGATGATTTGCTGCACATTCTCATGTGTCCTCCTGCTGCTGGGGTGATGTTCACACTCTCTAGACAGAAAGGTTTAATCAGAGCATGACTTGAGCTGAATCCTCTTGTTAGTACAAAACTTGTTTTGGGGCCACCATTCATTCATTCATTCATTCATTCATTTATTTATCTATTTATTTATTTATTTATTTGGAGAGGTTTTTGCTGTAGGGTACATGTGCTTACCAGAAAGACAGAGAGACAGAGAGACAGAAAGCGAGAAATTACCCCCCCAAGGGGGAAGGCCACGCCGCAATCCCTTCTCCTCTCGAGATCTTGGGCACACACACACATGTGCCCTGCGTGAGTTTAAGCCACTGGGTCCAGGACTTGAACCATGGTCAACTACATGGGAGTCCAGCGACAGAGCCATTATGCTAACTGCTGGTCCCGGGACCACGATTTTAAAGTACACTTACTAACTAAAAGTCGAATATCATCTTCCAGCTGCACACAATCATAGTCCGTGTTTTAAAACTAGGTCTGACTGATAAGATTTGAGTCATGTTTGAGTTCAGATAAATTACAAATAATTTCTTTAGTAAAACAATGTCCCACATATCACAAAAGAACATATTTTTTATTTGCTCTATCTGGAAGCCCTATTGATAGCACTATAATCATCAGTCCAGGCAATGCCTTCATAATTTTTTCATTCACATACTCAGTTGATTAATGAATTCATTAATTAATCACATAATCATAATATTTCTGCAGGTATTTTTAGTAACTACTGCTGAAACTATCCTCTGAAGAACCCACGTAGCTACTCAAAGGCGCTGAGAACTTGCTTTAGACTACTGAGAAATAATCAGCCTAGGGCCTTGTTAACCAAATTGTGATCTGCAGACCAGGACATCATCAACTTGGTCCTTGTTAGAAAAAGAATCCCAGGTCCTACCTAGACACACAGAATTCAGAATCGGTGTTTTAACAAGATCCCCAGGTAATTCTTATGCACAATAAAGTTTTAGAGACACTGATTTAGAAAGTTTGCTTTCAGAAAAATTCCCAGGGCAATGATATGCAGGATGGATTGAAGGGAGGTGGACTACAAATAGAGACAGCTCTTACAAGAACATTTAAAAAGCTCAGGGATTACTCTAAGATCTGAAATATGATGTAGGTAAAGGGAATGAAAAGAAAGGAATTGAAATGAGACACATGAATGGAAAATAAATCTAAGGGGCTTGGTAACAGACTGAGAGAGGAGGGAAAAGAAGGACATAAGATTTGAATATAAATCAAGTGGAAGTATCAAGGACTAAGGTGACTGGGAGAGGTTCTTGACCTTGGCTAAGAACTGTGATCACTAGGGAGATTTAAAAAATGGTATCTGGGTCCCCTAGCCTTCCCCAGACCTGGAGGTTCTGATTTAAGGTGAAGCTTGGGCATTAGATTTGTAAAGGCTCCACACAAAGAGCTGGTAAGACATCATTTCTGGATGTGTCTGTGAGGTTATTTCTGGAAGTGATTGGCACTTGTATCAATGCACCACAGAAAGCAGAGCTATCGTCTGCTTTCGTCACCAAGGTTGGAAGCCCCATCCAGTCCCATGAGTATTTGGATAAAACAAACAGGGAGAGGATGAGCAAATTCAGCCTCTCTTCTGGAGCTGAAATATCCATTTTTACTCACCCTTGGCTATTAGGCTTTCAGGCCTGTGGACTCTGGGACTCACACCAGCAGCCCATCAGGTTTTCAGACCCTAGAACTCAGACTGAATTACACCACTGGCTTTCCTGGTTCTACCTTGAAGACAAGAGATTAGAGTCTTCCTGGCCTTCATACTTGTGTGAGTCTTTTCCCATAATGACTCCTCTCTTAGAAATCTTCAAATCTCCTCTAGAGATTCTGTTTCTCTGGAGAATCCTGACTAATACAATCAGTGTTCTTTTAGAAGTCCTCAGTTGGTTGTAAAGTGCAGGCAGAATTGAGGATGCCCAACTGAAACAATTAGTTTAGCTGATAATTTATCATTGATTTCTTTTTTTCAAATAAACGAAAAATGAAAGGGAGTTCAGCATGAAGAGAAGAATTCAAATGCAGTGAGGTGAAATATAAGCCAACACATTTTCATTTGCTTGTTATAATTTTATGTTGAAAGTTACACAATTGGAATTAGAACCTCAATTTGAATCAGAATCACCTGGTAACCATTGCAATTGGATGACCATTTAAAATGAATTATGCAGATACTTCAACTATAATACGAAATAAAGTCATTTCAATCACAGCTATAATTCTATACCGTAAAATAGAAAAGGCCCTCAGGTGAAGAGAAGAGGTAGGAAATGCCATGTACAATGTATTTCTAAAGTCAAAGGTCACAGTAACCCTATGAGTCAACCCTATCACTAATGTCTAAATAAAAAATACCAAGAGAAACATTTAAGTACTTTATAGCAAACTTGTCACTATAGTATTATTTCATATATGTGCAAAGTATAAAAATAATAGTATTTTTAAAGAAGAAAAAAATTTCCAAATGCCCTTTCATGAAATGGAAAATTGGCTTACCTCTTCTCTATGATTCTTAATTGGCATACAAAGAATACTTTGTGTCTTGTAGCCTGTAATTTGGTCAACTTCTGCATTGAACCGAGGGTCCTAGTAAGGAAAAAGAAATTCAATTTAATGATGACCTGTTCAAAGACTGATTTAATTTTTCTGATTTATTAGATCAGAGAAATCTAACCTTCAACTTACCTTGTTAGTCAGAGTAACAATTTTATCGTCATGAAAGACATTAAATCATGTAAGTACGTATCATTTTAGACAAAGATGAATTCAAGATTTTTTTGCAGCTAGTATTTATGAAAGACAAAAAAAAATACAGATATGTACAAATATTCAGGAATAAAGACAATTCTAAATGTTAACCACTTGAGATAGCCTTACTCAAATTCAAGGAAAAGTGGTAATATAATGCAATCAATCTATCTCCCACTTCCTCATCTAATGAAAACCACCTCTTCTCTTAAACCACTTTTTATTTTATTTTATTTTTTAATCTACATTTAATCATTGCATGTTTTTAATAGCATGTGATGTGAGTTCTCAAAGCATAAATGCATTGCATGTCAAGGAAGTTGAAGATATTACTGTATTCAATAACTTTTCATTCTTGTGTCTGTTAAATGTTCTTATTTTCCCCCCAAAAAAATCTCCAATCAAACTTTCTAGTAAATGACTTTACTTCACTTATCATGGCTGCTTATAAATTGGGTTGCTGGAAAAGTCATGTGTATGTTTGCATAGAAAAACATAAAAAACATATCATGACTTTTCCAACAACCTAGTATTTCCTCAGTAGTCTGTACTTATATCTTGGATATTTATTAAGAAATAAATTTAGGGGGGTTATGTATAAAAAGGATACATGGACCCAAATTCAAAAAAAATTCATCTTTTGAATGTCTCCTTTTAAAGAACACACATGCACATTTAATAACCACAAAGAGCTTTTGAAAGGTATAAAAGTTTTGAATGTGGTTTAAAGAAAGAAAGGTAAAATATAATATTCGGTTAAAATTTAGACTAGAAAGGCCAAAACTTAAGCTGTAAACTTCATGAGGTCATCTTTGGGAGGAGGAAGATCATTACTATGTCCCTAGTACTTAACACAGGAGTACAAAAGCATTTGTTAAATAAATTAAGGAATTCTTTACAAATGAGAACATAGTTATCAAATGTGACAATCTTTAGCTTATTATCATTTAAGTCCTGTCTATAGGAGGAAATCAAAGAAGAGGAAATTGGTAATTCAATAGATACTTCCAGGGCCAGCATGTGGTGTGGTGGTTAAGGTACTAGTCTCCCACGTGGCTGACCCCGGTTCAAGTCGCTGACAGGTGACTTGAAAATCACACTGGGTGTGTGAGCATGCATGTCCCAAATCCCAGGGGTAGAATGGAGGAGAAAGAATTGCTGCATGACCTATTCCCCAGAGGGGATAATTTTTCACTTTCTCTCTCACCATATCTCTGTTTTTGGTAAGTGTACACACTCTATGGCAAAAACCTTAAAAAAAAAGTTACTTCCAAAAAACAAAGAAGCAAGTAGAACTATTATCCATGTACACAATAAAATGTAACATTCCTTGTCAAATAAGATAAACATGTCTACATCCTTAATTTGATTTATTACATACTGTATACCTGCTTCGAAAACACCAAACTATACCCCACAAAGATGTATGATTATATGTAAACCAGAAATCACAATAAAAAAGAAAAAGAACACACACAATCACATGAGGTAAGATTAGAATGGAAAGAAACATTCCAGAACAGAAACATCTGAATGAATGTTGTTCCCTTCAAAGCAATAGCCTGGGGAAGTTACATGGATGACCTAATTATAGCCTCGCTGCTCCAAAACTCTGCATTTGGAATTCCCTTTAGAGAATATGGAGTATCCACACTGGAAAATCCTCATCTCTTGAAGGTCATTTTTTTTTCCTTTTTTTTAAATTAGTATAAAGTCGTACAAAGCCAAAGCTATGAATGAACGAGGTGACTACACTAGATTTCCTCAATTGGGGTCAGAAATGAGGCCAATTTTCTCCTGAGAGAGCCAAACTAGGTTTTAAAGGTATTTTCAAAAGAAAAGTTATGAAATGGTGGAAAATCAGTATAAATATTTTATATTACACACACTATCACATTTTTACTTTTTCTGCAAACACACTCTAAGTTGTATTAATTGAGATGCAGAGAAAACATTAGCTGAGGATTTCTAACAAAAATCATTCTTATTTTATCTTTAGATATCACAAAGTATTTAAAGAATAGATACTGTTGTTGACTGAAAAAAGTGGAAAACCCATGAGAGGGAATTATTTTACAAACTAATAAAATGTGAAGAATAAAAATGCATCCTTAACTATGATTTTGTTCATGAATATTTGAATGATAAGACAAATAGTTTATAAAGAAGATTTAAGCTAACTATAATCAAAGCAATAGCATTTGATAGATGGGAATTAGAAGGACTTTCACATTTTTTTGTGTCTATTGTTGTTTAATATCAACATCTTTCCTGGATTTCACTCTTCAGTGATATGGGTGGGAGTGACAGCCTTGAAATTCACTTTTCTAAACTCCCAGCATCTCAGTTTTCCTTTCATTATACACTCTATGCAAATGCCTGCAAAGTGGTATGGACTTATCAGAAAGGCACAAGAGTCAGCAAATCTGATATGTTCAGTTTTTGGAAAAGTCATGATGTATTTTTCTATGTTTCTTTTATGCAAAAATATATCGTGACTCAATAATTTGAGTATCAGAATAAAGATAATAGGATATCATAATTCACTATATAAAATAAAAATCCAGGCTAGCTCGATGGTACCATGGTAACATTCTCCTTAAGCAATGCTGGATCAACATGGAAGTTGGTGGGTTCAGTTCCCCAGTGCACCTATACACTCTGGGCTGGGAGGGCTGAGAAATCACAGCCTGAGACCCTGTCAAAGGTGCTTCTCTCTCTCTCTCTCTCTCTCTCTCTCTCTCTCTCTTTCTCTGAGCACACTTTAAAAAAAATCCATGTGGGACCAGCAGGTGGCATAATGGCTATGTCACTTGACTCCCACATAGTCAACTGCAGTTTGAGTCCTGGACCCGCTGGCTAGAAACTCACTCTGGGCACATATGCATGTGTGCCCAAAATCCTGAGAGACTGGAGGAGAAGGGATTGTGTAGTGGGCCAACCCCCTGGAGGGTGATTTCTCGCTTTCTGTCTCTCTGTCTCTCTCTGTCTCTCTCGCGAATGCACATGCTCTATAGCAAAAATCTCTCTCTAAAAAAAATTAAAGAAATAACATCCATATGTGCATACGGGTATAAATGAATGAATGAATAAGGGAAAAGGCAGAACTCTTCCTTCCATCAGAATGCCAGTGAGTAAATACACAGGTATGATGGAGTTAGAAAACCTGTAGATGGTAAAATTGGTTAAGTGTAGATTACTGAGGAACAGACATTTACACAGTCTCAAAGTATCTTTCCATAGGCTTCTTAGACCTTTATAGAAAGCTGGAGGAGAACACTTCCACCAAGTTCTCAAATTGAACATTGTCAGGCTGGGGTAAGATTACACTATGTACTGTATATGTAAGGAAAATACCATATACATGTAAATAGTTCTGACCATATGTATCTTCTCATGTAAGTGTTAATATCTTATCATCTTATTAATAAAAGTGTTACTATCTTCTTATTACTAATAAATGCTGGGCTGCATTCGAGGAAGCTGTATGAGTGGTCAGCTGTGTGAGGTATGTGTGACTGAATATCAATGTATGGGCATTTATCAACTGAGAGCCCTCTCAATGGTATTTGTGATCTAATGGAGAATCATTGGTCTAAGCTGTAGATATCTTCTTTTCTTTTCTTTTTATTGACAGAAGGTGAACGAGCTTGCCAGAGACAGAAAGAGAAAGGAAAGAGAATGGGAGAGTGGGGTTGGTACTCAAAATCCCAGTCAATCACACCTTTCCTCTATTTCTCCTTCCTGTCAGGATTTGGGGCAGGCACGTGTGCACAAACACATAAACACACACATACACACACAGTTGGTATGTTTTTTGAGACACTGGGAGCAGGATTTGAACCTCCATCAGCCATATGGAATTCAAAAGCACTATGCCTAACACTGTGCTGTTGGGTGGGCCCTTGTCTTATATCTTAAATTAGTGGGTGAATTAGTAGTAAAATACATTTCCAAATTTGTATCATTTTACATCTTTTCTAAGTTTTAAAAAGTGAATCAACTACTGATCATTTCTTACAGTTTATCTGAGACTTTTTTTTTTTTTAATTCTCAGTTTCAGTCTGAGGCTTATTATGTTTCATAGTCACCTCTTGGTTTTGCATGGCCACATTATAACTTTTAAAGTGCTCTGTGGTCAAATGAGCTAAAAAAAATACTGTTGTAGAGAATGTTCTTTTTAGATGTATGTTTGAGATGCAGGACTCAGAGAACATTAGCGTGTGTTTTCATGTTCTGTTGACAGGAGACTATGAGACAGTGCTTTGATTATTGAAATTGTGGGCAGGACTGGGCAATGAATTACCCATTAGTCAACTGACTGCCACTGCTAATACCAATGTAAATTAGTTCACAATGTGAACTAGATCGCAGATGAACCCTCACAACTTCTAATGAAGTTTTTGTGACACAAATAACTTCTGTGGGGCCAGGAGAAACACACATCAAGAGTACCAGGGGTGAAGCGTAACATGATGAATCCACAGACCAAGAGGGCTCGTCCTGGGCACAGTGCCAATCAAGGACACTGGCTGCCTTAGGCAGGAAGGGAAGAGTTAAACCATTAACTACAAAACAAAGCATGTGTGGTCAAAACTTTAAAGATGATGAGCAGATTAAATAAAGTATGTATACGTGGTAAATTCTCAGGGCTAAAGACACTTAGGACCATGCAGATGAATGAAGGCTTTCTCTGCAAAGCTGAAGAATATTTATGGTCCTACTGTACTTAGGCTGGTAGTGCCACTGAAATGTGGAAGCCCAGCTGTCACTTAAGACAGGAAGGGAATTCTGCAAATTCGGCAGCAATCCTTCAGCTGTGTCCTTAATACCCTCTCGGAGTTTGCTATGGCATGACGTTACTCTAGAGCTGGAAGAGGTCATAGAGGTAGTGCTGTGAACAGTGGTGCAGTTTTCAAAGGGAATCAAGATGGAATAAATAGCTAACATGAATGGATTCTGAAAAAAATAGCTCAAGATTTAACCTGCCTGACCTAATGCCTCCCAAACCCCTGACCTCAGTATTCCTCACCAGCACCATAATTCATTCACCCAACTGTAAAACCAAAGTCACCTTCGACTCCTCGTTCCCCTCCCTTCTATCAGCTGCCATGCTCAGCAGAGTCTGCGTCTTCATCTGAAATGCTTTCCCTCCTCTGGATCTTTGATGCCAGTGCCCTGGTTCAAGTCCTCACTTCCTCAGCTTTCTACCTAATTCATGATATGACTACTGTAAAATTCATCTTTTGAAAGCAGTTTAACCATACCAGTTGTTTTTTCAAAACATCTTCAATTATTTCTCTCTGTTGACCAGCCTGGGACTCCACTACCAGCGAAGAAACTCAGGTATTTAAAGACAGGATAGTTTTTACCATCCATTTCTAAATAAGTGGGCCATTGGTTACATTCGAGTTTCAAATATCCCCACCGTTCCCATGGTGGTCCATGGCTTCTCCCCACCACCCACTCATTCTCTGATGGCCCCCAGTACCTCATATGCATCTTTGATGTTCAAAGGCTCACCAAACGCTGCCACATGTCCCACAATGCCCTTGTTCCATTCTAAGCGGATACAGTTATTGGAAGCTTCTTCCAGTGTCGAACCTTCGGCAACATCAAAGAGGCGACTGATAAGAAACTTGTCGTTGGAGCTGTCCTCGCAGACAAGGAACAGGGAATAACGGTCGGCTGAGATGAGTCCATGGATGTGCAAGAAAATTTTGTGACATAAGGCGGTGACATCCAAATGACTAGAAATATCTTTCACTAATTCCAAGAGTCTTGAGCACTGGTCCCCTTCATCAAGATCAAACCTTGGAGGGGTGAGAGGCATCTGTTCCTTCTTTTCTGAGTCAGAGAGGAAGCTCACAGTGCCCTCCGAATCCTTGACGACAATGGGGCGAAGCGGCCGGTCAAATTCAGAGGCAGAGATTTTCCTGGTTGGTGTCCCAGGGGCACTGCTGTCTGCACGAGGACTCTGTTGTAAGGGGCAGGAGCAGGTCTCGGTGTGGCCTCGGATGCCTTCCTTGCACACAGGGATGGTGTGAACTCTCTCAGCAAACCATGCATTGACCATTTCTCTGCAGGATAGAACATGCAGACACATCAGACACTTGAGGAAGAAGGCTGCTACTCCTGAAAGTCATTGAAAATCCTCTGACGTAAACAGAGAGTCATTTCATTTGTTAGAGATAAATAAAAGCAAGGTCGTTGGGCCAGCACATGGTGTGGTAGTCGAGGTGCTGGGTCCCACATAGCTGACAGCACGGTTCTAGTCCTGGACCCAGCGACTTGACAAACACCCCAAGTATGTGTGTGTGCATAACTAAAATCCCAAGAGGAGAATGAAGAAGATATTCTGGCATAATTTTAGATCATTACAACCAGGCCCAAGTCTACACACAAAATTCACTCATGTTGTATATACTACCTTATATACATAGTTTGAAGGCAATTTTTGCAATATTTTTGTATTGCAGTGTTTGACTGTGACCCATCACATGGGTTCAGGTGTGGAGTTTTCCACCTGTGGCACCATGTTGGCATTGAAAAGATTTCAAATTTTGGAGCATTTTGGATTTTCAAGTTAGGGATGGTCAACCTGTGGTAAGAGGATAACAGCAAGACTAGGACAATAATTGACTGCTTTTATTGAGCCAATGGTCAAGATAAAAATATTTGACAGTAAACTATTTTCCAAAACATGCAGGCTATAGTCACTCTCCAATATTTTTGACTATGGCAGAAATTGATATCGTATCTTTGGAGACCGAGTAAATGATATCTAACACATTCTGGAATGTGTCTTTCTTTGTTCCTGAGATTTTACATATGCAGCAGATGAAATACCAGGGCATTGACTGTAGTGGTTCACTATGGCAAAGATAAGAAGCAACCGAATACATGGGACCACTGAGAGGCTGACTAAATATGATGAGCCATTAGGCAGATTTAAAACATGGCTATAGGTACTGATAAGCTTAATCTCCATGATCTATTAAGTGAAAAAAAGAAGATGTAAAGGTGGGAAAAAATAACTGGTCTCATTTCTGAATCTTTACAGAGTCTTTTGTTTATGAGACATTCCCTTAATTATCTGAGACAATGATGCATTCTTTGTTAAATATACAATTACCCTGAAAATGAGATCAGTCTAGAATGGAATGGGTCAAAATAAAATAATAATAATTTAAAAATCACACACGAAGGTATTACCTCATTATTTCAAGTGCTGGATGCAGCTGGATCAAAGTCTTTTAAAGATCTCTTTAAAAAGCAATAACCCAAGGACACAAAATTTTAGTTAGACAGGATAAAGCAGTTCCTGAGATGCACTGCGCAGGGGTGACTATAGTTATAACAATATACCGTGTACTTGAAAATTACTAGGAGTTTGGTTTACATGTTCCTACCACAGAAAGAGTAAGTTTGTGAGATCATGCACAAGTTCATTAACTTTATTTAGCCATTCCACTACATATATTATATATTGGGTTTTCAGAAAAGTCAGGATGTATTTTTCTATGCATATGTTATGACTTTTCTGATGACCCTGTATGTGTGTGTATGTGTATACATGCTATATGTCATGACTATATACAATTAAAATAAATTTTAAAAATCCCATATATACTTTTTGAATAACAGCTTCACTGGTCCTATGGACTGACCTTATAATAGAAATATTACAAATGAGAACTAAAAAAATTTAGTACGTAAGCATATTGTTGTAAAAGAATTGTTTTATTTCATTTATTATCTTTATTATTTGGTTAGCTTGACCAGAGAGGAAGAGAGAAAAGGAAAGTAGGGAAGCAAGCCTCCAGGTCCAGGAATCAAACTGTGCTCAGCCATGTGGGAGTCCAGTGCCTTAACCACCACGCCACCTGCTGGCTTCAGAACATAGGCACATTGTACAGATCACAAGCATATAACTACATAGATTTTCTAAAAATATAACTATCTTAATATCTTAATTTATAAATGATTAAATGTGTGCTGTGGCTTAGGAAAAAGTTTCTAGTGAGGACAGCATACACTGAGTAAAATACTGCTGAATCTCAAAACAGATGGAAATGAGAGGAGCATACTCTGGGAAATGTTTACATAGTCCCCCAAATTACATTACTTCATAGCCAAAAACACTGATGTCAAAGATGCCTATGAGTATGTCAAAAATGTATAGGAAGCTTTGGGAACCAGCAGTTAGCGTAATGGCTATGTCGCTGGACTCCCATGTAGTCGACCACGGTTCGCGTCCCGGACCCAGTGGCTTAAAACTCACGCTGGGTGCATGTGCATGCGTGCCCAAGATCCCGAGAGGAGAATGGAGGAGAAGGGATTGCGGCGTGACCATCCCCCCTGGGGGGTGATTTCTCGCTTTCTTTCTCTATGTCTCTCTCTGTCTGTCTGGCAAGCACAAGTGCCCTATAGTGAAAAAAAAACCTCTCCAAAAAAAACACAATGTATAGGAAGCTTTGAATAAAATTGTTTTCTAAAGTGTAAGATGGAGAGAAAAGCAAAGTCTAAATTAACATATCTGATATGATTTTAAATGTGTACATGTAATTAAATTGCTAAATCAATATAAAAATAGGCATTGGCTCAGTGACAGTGTTACATACTGCAAGGACTCTGGTCTCCACATGGTGACTAACCACCTGAGGCCCAGATTCAATTCTTTGTCCAACCTAAAAACCAGGGTGGTGGTGTGCACCTGTAAATCCAGCGATCAGGGCAGCTGAGGCAGGAGGGTCATAAGCTTTTAGGCTGGCCTGGGCAACAGAGTAAGACCCCATCTAAAAAAGAGCTGGACATGGGGCCAGCAGGTGGTATGGTGGCTAAAGTGCTAGACTCTCACATGGCCAACTGCAGTTCAAGTCTCAGACTCAGCAGCTTGAAAATCATGCCAGGTGACCATATGATCCAGCAATTCCACTCCTGACTATCTACCCAAAGGATAAGTGAATGCTCAGTCAGAAAAGTGCTTATACATCAATGTTTATTGCTGCATTATTCATAATTGCAAAGATTTGGACCCAACTCAAATGTCCATGAACAGATGAATGGATTGAAAAAAATGTGGCACATATACTCTATGGAATACTACTCAGCTATTAAAAAAAAAAAAAGACCCTGACATTTGATAGAAAGTGGAAGATCTATTGTTGAGTGAAGCAAGCTAGGCTATCAAAGAGAGACATTGCATATCTCTACTTAATATATACCGAATGTCTGCACTCTATGGTGGATATTTAAAGATTAGAGGACATAAAAGCATTGAAAATAGTTACGGCCACTGGAGACTGTGGAAAGAGGGTGGGAGTCGGGAAGCATATAGGGAAAGAAATTAGGGAGAAAAAATAGAGAGGCAAGACATTTATGAGACACAGTAATGGTTTATTACCTGTTGATTATACATGTATAGTATTCTCAACTGGACTGGTCTGAGTTGTATTTCATGTTGGGTAAATTCTCTTTGCAAGCCAAATGATGTATAGTGATCCAATGTATAAAATAATAATAATAATAATATAGAATTTTTTAAAAAAAAGAAAATCATGCCAGGTGCATGTGCCAGTGAATCATAAGAGAAGAATGGAGAAGGGATTGCAGCATGGCCATCTGCCTAGGGGATGATTTCTCACTTTCCCTCTCTCTGTCTCTCTCTGTCAAGCACACACATTCTATAGCAAATAAATAAACCATGGTGGCATGCACCTGTAGTCCCAACTAGGAGGCTGAGGCAGAAGGATTGTGACAGTAAAACTCTATCTTAAAAAAAAAAAAAAAGGGACCAGTAGTTACCATCATGGCTATGTCACTGGACTCCCATGTAGTCGACCGCGGTTTGAGTCCCAGACCTGGTGGCTTAAACTCATGCCGGGCGCATGTGCATGCATGCCCAAGATCCTGAGAGAAGAATGGAGGAGAAGGGATTGCGGCGTGGCCATCCCCCCTGGGGGGGGTGATTTCTCACTTTCTATCTCTCTGTCTCTCTCTGTCTGTCTAGCAAGCACACGCGCCCTATAGCAAAAACCTCTCAAAAAAAAAAAAAAAAAAAACAGAACATTTTTATTCTGTCAGCTACAAACCTAAAACTTTGCCTCAACTCAATGGAAAATGGAGTCTCTTTTTAAATTCTTAAACCCAATCTGTCTACTTGATAATCCCATGTGCATATCTAAATAGACAACTTAAAACGGTGAAAATAAAATTCCTAATGCCCTCCTTGTCACCTTGCCTCAATCTCACTCCCTGCCACTTTCCTTCTCATTAATAAAGAACTTTATAGCCTCCCTGGGTACTCAAGTAAACAGCCAGGAATTATTCGAAATTTTTGTTTCCTTTACTCTCACTTTAGTTGAGCGGTCTAGTTATGTCAGGTTGACCTCTAAAATCCGAAATTCCGTTCTATTCATTTCTTTCTCCATCCCTATCTCCCCAGTCCAAGCCCAACTCCTCTCACCTAGACTACAGTCCCCGTCGCCTAAATTCACCGAGTTTTTACAGCAGCCCCACTTACCTGAGGTTTCATTTTCCAGGGTTTCCACCACCAACAATCAACTGCAGTCAGTTATTTTTATTAATATATTTTGAGCGTGAGAGAGACCTCATCTGCATAGCTTTTATTATAGTGTGTTGTTATAATTGTTCTATTTTATTGTTACTCTCTTACTGCACCTAAATTATACATTAAACTTTATCATAGGTATGTAAGTATTGGTAGAAACACAGTATGTATAATTATACCTATGTTATCTATCTATCTATCTATCTACCTACCTATATGGAGAGACTGATACTATCTGTGGTTTTAGGCATTCACTGTGGGTTTTGGAATACATCCCCTATGGATAAGGAGGACTATCACACTTGGCCCCTTTCAATCCACTCTCCACACAGCAGTCACAGTATTCTATTAATAAGTAAACTTTAACATCTCAATTACCCTACCTGGTTTCCCATTGAATTAAGAATAAATCCCTAACTCCTCAAATCCCCTACAAAAGTTCCTTTTGCCACAGTGGCCTCCTTGGCACTTTCCCACGCATACCAAGCTCTAACTGCCCCATCTGGA